CCATTTCTGACATTCAAAAAACCTTTTTATTTTCACATACCCTTGGTTTCATAAACCCTAGAAGGCTTTATGAAAATTTATACTTAGTGCAAGGGTTTATGATTCTACGCTTTTTTTTAAAATGCACTTTTTCACAGTACAGTCTGAAGCATTCGAACGATAAACTATTCAGGGTAAAATAATAAACTCTTTTGCTGAAACCGTAGAATAATAAACCCGTCTCCGTAAATCGCAGTATAATGAACCCTTCGATAGCAGCTATAAATCCTTTTTATTTTCATATACCCTTGCTTTCATAAACCCTTCAAAGGTTTATGAAAATTTGTAGTTAGCGCAAAGATTTATTATTATACTGTTTTCTTCACAGTGCAGAATAACATACCCTTATCCGTTGAATCATAAACCCTTTTTATGAAAGGGTAGAACAATATACCCTTATGCATAAAATCATAAACCTATTTTATGAAAGGGTAGAATAATATACCCTTAAGGATAGAATCATAAACATTTTTCACGAAAGAGTTGAACGAAATATCCTTATCCGTAGAATCATAAACCCTTTTTATAAACGGGTAGAATAATATACCCTTAGGCGTAGAACCATAAACCCTTTTTATAAAAGAGTAGAATAATATACCCTTATCCGTAGAATCATAAACCCTTTTTATGAAAGGGCAGAATGATATACCCACACCCAGAAAATCATAAACCCTTTTCCTGAAAGAGTAGAATAATATACCCTTAGGCGTAGAATCATAAACCCTTTTCATGTAAAGCGTAGAATAATATACCCTTAAGCGTAGAATCATAAACCCATTTCCTTGAATTTCAAGGTGATAAACCCTTTTTATTTTCATATACCCTTAGTTTCATAAACCCTTGGTTTCATAAACCCTTGAAGGGTTTATGACGCTATCATAAACCCTTCAAGGGTTTATGAAAATTTATACTTAGTGCAAAGGTTTATGATTCTGCCCTTTTTTTTTACAGTGTACACATTTGGTTAGTAGAAGAGATAAAAGATTGCGGTTTCGTATGGATTTTGATCTTAGTTCTGGATTGAGAAAGCTTCATTTTGGGCGATTGTGGGTCATGAGCGTTGTGCGGTCAGTTTTGCTGTGTTTTGATTCGATCAGTGTGGCTGTTTTTTTTTCTGTTGGAGTTATCGTGGAGGTCATGTATAGATGATATTTCGCTACGTTTTCGTCGAGCGCTATTTTCCGTTAGACGTTGTTTAGTTGAATTATTGTCACACGGAGAGTGATGCGATCGCGTTTGCTCATTTGTGGATTACAGGTAAATTGCGAAAGATGTTGGTATTTGAATGCTCTTTGGGATTGGGTGGGCATCGTATTATGTTGAATTTTCCGTCGGCATTTAGATGCCTTTTCAGATGGTATGGATTAATGTTAGCATTAGCCAGCGTGGTTCGTGTACTGATTGTCTGCTCTCTCGTTTCTGGTTTCGGCAATGTTGCAAAGGTTTCACCATAGTATAATTTTTAGAGGTGTTTCAGAAATGTGATGTTAAAATTTGTCGTGAATGAAGCTTTTTTTCTCGGTTGAGCAGGATGATTTGTGTGGGAAAGTAAGGATAGAACGTTTGCTGCAGTTCATTTAGGTTTTTGAAGTGGACGGAAAGTGGTTGCGGTCGTGGATGATTTAGTTCTGAGTTCAGTTACCTCCGTTTTATGTTTTTGCCCAGGAAAACATGTCGTGGTATGGTCTTTTTATGAGTGTTTGGAATAGTGATCTTTGAACGAACGTGTTATTCCTTCTGTTTATGGATGGAATTTATGTCTCCTAAATTGAATTACAATTTCTAATAATAGAAAATCATTGCGTCGTATCTTGTTCATTGTGGAGAGAATGCACTGTGACCTGGCTCTTTGTGATGATATTGAAATTATCATTCTAATGTTTTGTCTGGCCGTCAGTTTTTGTTGTGGGGTTTTTACAGGGTATACTGTCTTATGCGTGAGGGATTATGACATTGTAGTTGGGTTTGTTAGGTGGATTAGCTTATTGATATATTTTGTATCTTTATGCGACGGATTGTTCTCGAGAGAGCGTGTGAATGAATTTTGTTTTCGGTTTCTGTTATAGAAAGTGCCTTATGCTTAGAAATCGGTTATTGATTGTTCGCGAGATGACATTGTTAATAGGAACAAATCTGCACCTCTTGTTTGTTCTCTCTCAGCTGGAGGCATTCGGCGTCTTCTGAATTCTCTGAAAGCTGAGATTAATATTAATGAGGACCATCTGGTTGTCGGATTTCTGCCAGAAATTGATCGTTTCTCCTAAGAATTCGGTAGAATTTCATGAAATCTGGTGGGAAATTAGGATATTCGGTGGAATCCGATCATCGGATCTCTGGCAATTCATTTCCCGGTGAGTTCCGGTCGGATAGAAGCGGAATTTTCCGTATCCGATAGGATTTATTTGTGATGGTGACATCTGGCATAAATCCGATGGCACCCGATTGTCGGATTAGAAATGATTGGACAGGATCTCTTCCGGCACAATCCGATTAGGTATCCTGTTGGCGGAATCTGATGAAATCCGACTCTACCCGCTCTGGAATCTGGGAATATCCGAGTTGTTCCTAAAGGTAGCTCTGAGCGAATGCAATGTGGTTCGATCAGCTTTTAACGGAAGACGTCGGCTTCCGGAGCAATCTGATGTCGGATCCGATGGTTTCCGGTAAGATCCACAGGTCGGATTGGATCTCCTGGGTAAAAGCTCAATGTAAACTTTAAAGATTCCATCATTTTACAAAATGGTCTTTAGTGAGAGTATTATACACTTGTTTTCCTTGTGTGGATATGTCCAGTAATATTTCCGAAAACACAATCAACAAAGTAAACAAATATGATGATTAGATCAGATTCAGTCGAGAGTAAAGCGAGTCCTGGTAATGAGCATTGATTGTCTTTGCAACGGCTTGAGTTTTTAAATCTGACTCATCGAATATTGATGAGAAACTCGCGACAAAGTTAGTTTGTTGATTGTTTTTCTGTAAGACGTGAATTATCGTTCATCCAAATGAAAATCAGCGCAAAGGTAAGACTTAGGATATCTTTATAAAATCATTTTTGGTGCTTCTCACTTGTTTTTAATGCTGTAATGGTACGAATGTGCATATGTTCAATTCTCTCAAAGAGCTAAAATCTTATCGTAATCGATAAAAGGCAATCATCTTATCGAGTATTCTATGAAAAATCTCTCATTTGTCAAACACGATCGTATTTGAAGTATAAAGCAAGATAAATGAACCATCCATGACGTGACCTACGAACTATGGCAGATGTTTCGACCCATTTCTCGTAGACTATAACGCTCAAGAAATATTGACTATACATCTGTTTTAGACTCTGATATTCAAACGAACTTTCAAAAAAATGATCTTTGTTTACAAACCGAAGCTCGAAAACTTGTCCAAGGGAGATGTTACTAAAAGTCTTTTTTTGCCGTGATGACGAAGTGTCTAACTGATCGCAGCTTCAGATTGTTAGTCAAAATGAAGTTGGGATACGATAGATGTGATGTTATTTTTATTATCGAAACGATTGGTCGAGGAGGAATTTCGAAGAAAACATGCTCCTTCGGCTGTTCTGTTTATCATAGCTGAAATCAAGCAATAGAAAGTCGATGTCACTTTCAAAATGTCTTTGAACCATCCAATCTTCTTCATTGCAAATCGCGTTGTACGGATTTTTTGTTCGGATGCAACAATCTGTTCAATCATTTGTTGTTAACCTGAGATGAATGAAAATGAAGTTGTGCACGCTCACACACACGAATTGAGAATTCATCGAGTAAAACACACTGACTCAACTCTTAAGTATTCGTCAAATGAATGAACTCAACCAAGATGAATAAAGAATTAGTCAAAGGAAGAAGCAGAAGGTAACATCATCATTGAGGAAATCACAACTTTGATCAAAGAATTGTTAATGAGACACCGTTCAAAGAAGCATGCAAGTTTTTATAGTCGAACTAAAAGATTTCAACGAAATCTTTAAAAAAATCTTGTATTCGGTCCGATAACAATTAGTGTTATTCTTTATTGAGTAGAATGATGATCCGCAAGTTGTAATATAGGATATATGATATAGACTTGAAGTATAAACAAAACGAAAAACGTAATGAATGAAAAGAACAATTAGATTGATAAATAAAAAAATGTCGATGTTGGGCTCAGCTATAGCAAGTTGATACGACAAAGAATCGAATTTCGTTGTCAGAACCAGCTTCAACAGAAGGAATGTGAAAAATGTTGGCACTGAAAAATGTAACGAAAAAGAGCATCTAATAGACTTGAATGCACCATAGTTCACGTTCCGATTCCTCATTTATCGCTGTTCGACCATGTAGCAAGAGATGATTCTCAATGATTACCAAATCATCATCGTTCCATGTGTGTTCCATGTACCACTTCGGATCGCGCATGATCTTCTTCATCATTTCATCGAATTCTTGATATTCTGTTGCATCTATATCAATCTTATCTATTGAACATTTGGTTTTGACTGGTTGAATGCTGCTATTTGGCATTTCTAAATATCGAAAGATGTTTTCATTCGTTTTTGGATGTGACATAATTATGGGATAGATATAGTTTTGTCCTTCATAGTATGACAGTGGCATAGAACTTGTAATCTCAATGGTTTTCCAGTGCTTGATCATTTTTTCATCGATCGATTCGAGTAATAAACGTCCGTTGACAAGTGTTGTTTTGTCATTGGCATGAGGATGAGATGCTTTAATACAGTAGAGCATAAAATATTGTGCCACATAATCATTGTAAGACCCTTTTTTTTGTAAGCATTCTGGCGAAAAACACAAATCAAAATGTAATGGCAATGGGTCACGTGATGAATGGCTACTCGTAGGTGTTGTCTCAGGTTTGATTTCAAGCAACGAACCGGACTTCCACGTAACCGGTGGAGCAAATTGTTCGCAAAATTTCGAATAATTGTCTTTATTAAGAGAGTTTTGAGGTTGACGAAGAACGAGAAAACCGAATTTCCCCAATAACATCTTCATCCAAGCAACACTCAACTGCAATACATCAACTTTCTTACAACAATCAATCCATAGGCCGAAGCGTGGCGAGTTTCCAAGTAACATTATTTTCAACGTTGATGCAATTGAACTGGGCGTGTCACATGGCAACTTGAGAAAGCACCATACCTGTTCTTTGAACGTAATTGGAATGTGTTCGGTGTTTAAGTTCAATTTTCTGTATGGCATCAACGTTAGAGTTCCTTCAACATTGATTACTAAAACATTGTGCCAAGGTGTGCGAGGAGCGCATCCCTCATCAGGTCCAGAGACGATATCGGTGAAAAATCGAATTGTAAACTTTTCTCCGTCACTGGGATGTTGATGAATCGACAGACGAATATGATTCGGATAATGTTGTTTCAATAGATTTGTCAATGCATCATTACGTTCAATCATTTTTTTTGCAATGAAACCCATTCGATCTTTCAATTGTTGACGCGAAAGGTTTTCATTCGTTATCGTCTTGCTCAAATCATTTGTCATAAATTGTCTCAAATGAATAAATTGTTGTCGATTACTTTCAGATTTCAGTAGCCATTGATCAAAAGAAAATGTCGGTGTTCCGAAGTTATGCACCCAACTGTCAACATTGCCATTTCCAACATAGTTATCCATTTTATCCCATTGAATATGGGTCATTGTCATTGAGTAGTGTTTTAACAGACGCCCATATTCGGCAATGTCTTCGTTCGACACTTCAATCAAATCACCGAATACGCATCCGTCCGACCATATGACGAGGTGGCAGCCGTGTTCATAAAGAAAACTCACTTCACGACATATGTTGTTCAGATATTCTAGTACATATACTTCACCGGCATCGGGAAGTTTCCCGCTCACTTTATTTGGATTTGGAGATTTGCAAGGAAATGCTGGTAGTATCAGTTGAATGGGTTGATTTGCTTGTGTAAATGCTTGAACTTTTTTCTGTAATACATCACGCCCACATTCGGCATACAAGTCATCTTCTGAGAGTTTACGAATCCTGAGTAGTTTCTTCTCGAAAATAGTAACGATTTTGACTACCAACGATGACATCTGTGCGGATTCTTGTAGTTCCATTGTTTATGATTCAAATAAATGATGAATTCCTGTGAAAACAATGCTTTGATAGCAATAATGTACTGGATAACATAAATACAAGAAAAAGTATTTCGAAAGAAATGTATTATTAACTCTCAAGCGTACCCTGATGGCATAGGTACTTTTTGTATCCATACGGTCCATACGAATCCCGGTCTGACAAAACAGAAGAAATACTCCAAAGTAATGATATACTATTTAGCAGCTACCGGGAGTTCGCAACGGATTTTAATGCACGAGCAAGGAACACAAACATAGCTGTTTAGTCTATATGTGTGCGTTTTTCTTTGTTGTTCTATTATTATTCACTTGTCTTATCAAAATCTGTCAGAGTATGTATTACACAAAACCTTTTGGTGATCCAGACAACAAGAAGCCTGGGAATTCGCACAAAAGTGTGGCTGTGGGTGTGAGCAGGTGTGTGCGTGGATATTTGGATGTGGGTGTGGAGTGTGGTGTGGGTATTGGTCTTCTATCCATCACACACCCACAGCTACACCCCCATACCCCCAACTAGAGTCTAGCTTGTCAGACTGAAGGTGAGGGCTGATATACACACAGCAAGCAGACCCTAATAAACTCTGATGCACACTGATAGGATCTAATAGACCGTAGTATACGACAGTATACACTCATAGGTCTTGATGCACTGGTACATACAATTTTATTTCATGAAAGATCGTACTACGTTCTCCATGCACTATGTAGACTCAAATAGAGTCGCGAGAAGCGTGATACATTGGATGTGGGTGTGGGTACGGTTGTGGCTCTGAGGTTTTCGCTGTATCAAAGAGAAGACGCACACCCAAGCCCGCGCGCCCACGCCCAACCCACACCCTCAAATTGGCACAAATATAGAGCAAAATTTTCTCTACAAAATGAGAAGTCTTCCAATCATGTACAATGGATTGTTCATATTTTATACAGAGCAAACTTCACTCAACGATCAATACCGGTACCACTATTGGCATAGATGACAACCATCGCTCTTAAAACGTAAACCACCCATCGTACACAGCTGGGATATGTCTCATTTTATACAAGAAATTTTGCTCTATATTCCTGCCAAATTCGTTCAAATCCATCCTGTTTTGTTTCTGACATCTGTTTGACTTAAAAACGATGAATAATACCAGTAGAACATCAAAGACGAAATATGATCTAATATAACAGTCACTTATCATAACAAACATATCTTAATTGAAACTTTATTATTACGATATTAATTGAAGAATGATCAAATATTACAGCCATGAAGAGCATTGTTTTTACTATCAACCCAAATACACGAAAGATTTTTAATGCTTACTATTCAGTATTGAAATGTTACTGCCACTATTTTGGGTATGTCCTAAGTATATTATCTAATGGATATCACCAGAAAAGATCAAACACAAATATGGAAACTCAGCAAATTTTACGTATGCTTATACATCCAGGAATGTTGTGACCAGGAGAAGAGCGGCGGGAGGCCTCTGACGGATCTTGGAAAAGCTTCGTTGTTCCAGCAGAGTCTTAGCATTTTCTTCTCCCCCCCCCCCTCCTTCCTGTCTATTCTCAATGACAAATTTAGTTTTATGGGCATTTGTAAATATGTAAGTAATAAAGAATAAATGCAGCTAGTATTTTAGAGATCTTGAATTTTATTTCATATGAGCTTTCGACCTACTATGTGGTC